AGTGACTGCTACTTCTACAAATCTCAGAACATTTTGTTCACACATCTTCTATACACAGAGAATGTCAGGCCTTAAAAATCATATAGTCCAAAGCATTTCATCTGACATAAGAATAAAGTAGAAACTTGAAACTAGGTTATTCCATTCTAATCTCTCATCTCCCTATAATAAACTGGAAGTTCCTCTGAGGGCAGGAACAAGTATATCATTCATCTTTGTATCCTGACAAACTAGCCCAGAGTCTTGTCAGTGCATATACGGCAAATATTTGATAGCCGAATTCAACAAATGTTGATTGATGCTTGTTGAAATGAAAACGAATACATGTTTACCTTGAAGTGGTGGTGGAAATGTCTGGCAGATAGTTAGGGTACAGACCTGGAATTCCTAGAAAAGGAAGAGTGTGCTAAAATAGAAATGACAATACTATCTAAATTTAATTTTCAGATATAGTACCATACCAGATGATCAAAGGGTTACTTTATAGACCAGACAACATAACATAATTCATCTGGAGAAATAAAAGGTCAAGAATCTCAAGGGAAATCATGAAAAGAGGGAAGAGAGGCTCTAGCAATACCAGACCTCAGACTATACTGCAAAGAGAGGGGAAAGGAATAAGCATTTATATAGTGCCTACTTTATGCCAGCCACTGCCCAGAGTTTTGCAAATATCATCTCATTTGGTCATCACAGCAACCTTGCAAGGTAGGTGCTATTAGTTTCCCCATTTTACATTTGAGGAAACTGAGGCAGACAAAGGTTAAATGACTTGCCTAGGGCCCCCACAGCAAATATCTGAGGTCAAATTTGAACTTAGGTCTTCCTGACTCCAGACCCAGCACTCTTATCTACTGCCCCACCTAACTACCTACCAAAGAGTAATCATCAAAACTATCTGATATTGATTAAAAAAATCAAAAAGTTGATCAGTGGAATGAAGTAAGTATGGAAGACCCAAAAGAAATAGTACATAGTAGCAATTCACTAAACCCAAAGAGTAAAGACTCACTAATCAACAAAATTGCTAGGAAAACTGGAAAGCAGTCTGGCAGAAATGAGGTTTCATCTCATATACAATAAGCTCCAAATGAATACATCACCTAAATCTTAAAGGTCTTATCGCAAACAAATTAGGGAAGGGAAACGTAACCTTTCACAACTATGGATGGGGGAGAATTCCTGACCAAAGGATAAAGTTATCATGAAAGAGAAAAATGGACAATTTTGATACCATAAAATGCAGATTTTTGTACAAAACTAGAATTAAATGAAAGACAACTAGTTTATTGGGAAAAGAGGAGAATTGTAAAGATTTTGATGTAAATGAATATATGGTCTCATGGGGTCCAACTTTTCATTTCCTTTTTTCATATTCCTTAGAATTAACAGAGTAGCCATGTGCTACCATGTCCTACCATGGCACAACTTCATCAGAAGCCTCTTTTCTAAAGAGGGAATCAACTTAGGAGATAGTGTAGGCCTGCAGGGGTCTGGGGGGTGCCATTCAAATTCCCTGTACCTCTGTCTGTGGAAGAGACAACATTATGATCATGGAATACAGCTGAGGTATCCTGAAAGCCTGTGTGATGGAAATGCTTATTCCCATGGAAAGAGACCCTCAGCTGCAAAGCCAGAGAGTTCACACTTCCATTTTCCCAGTTCAGAAAGTTGTTTGGGTTTTGTTTTTTCTCTCTTTGGAAAAAGAGGAAGCAACAACAGGATTGCTGGGTTGACTTTCTTGTTTGTGATTAGATTTCAGAATTCCAGTAGCCTGCCAAGATTCAAGCTTTACAACCCATTGTTAACTGCGATTGCGTATCAAAGAAACTTCACAGTTCAGTGACTATTTTTTTGTTCCAAGGGTCTTAGAAAGTGGTCCCCTTCTGCAGTACCCATTGCCAGAGGCTGCTATAACAGAGGCCTAGAACTTTTATGTTGTACTTAGTGCTAACCAAAACCAAGGGCTGACCTCACCTAGCACTTTGCTTTGTACTCTCTTTTTGCCTATATGTACTATTATGAGTCATGTTTGCCTGTATTGTTGCTTTCTGCCCCTACCAGGCCACGAGCTTCACGAGGGGAGAGACAGTGTTTTGTCTAAACCAGGGCAGGGGAACCTGTGGCCTTGAAGCCACATGTGGCCTTCAGGGTCCTGGGGTGTGGCCTTTTGACTGAGTCCAAGTTTTACAGAACAAATACTTTTATTAAGGGGATTCGTTGGGTGATGTTTGGATTCAGTCAAAGGGCTGCACTTGAGGACCTAGAGGGCCACCTGTGGCCTCGAGGCCCCAGATTCCCCACCCCTGGTCTAAAGTCTCTATCTTCCACACCCTCTAGGGTCTCACTGATGGAAGTAGTGTTGTATTTTTAAAGTTTGCAAAGTACTTAACTACAAATAGAGAAAATAACCTTTTCTTTTGTATTTTACTTTCTCTGTTTCTTAAAGGAGAATTCTTTCAACCATATTTCAGACATGGAAAAAACTTCCAAAACTTATGAAAGAGGAAAAATTAAAGGAAGAAAGGAGGGAGGAACTCCGAAAGAAAGTAGCTGAAATCCTCCCAGACTTCAGGACTGTGAGCTCCATGTGAAGACGAGCAAAGCAGGAACGTTAGGCTCAGGCATCTTATGGGTGAACAACTTCTTAGTGCCAGGGAAAATACATTAATAAGTGTGAGGCCTTTGGGAGAATTATTGTTGGCCCCAAGGCCTATTTAGATGTTATTACTTAATGTGTTTGCCAGAAATTATTTGGAACAAAGGACGACTTGGAAACATTCTGGGATCTTAAATTTTCCTCCTTGATTTCTGCTACATTGCTAATCAAAGGAGCTTGCCAGAACCTTTACCACAAAGGGGTCACTCCATAGCAACAGAATTTCAGAAGCTCTAGATTATCTAAATTCACTTCCCATGATCACTTGGAACCACTCTTCACATGCATACTGCCTGATTTTATATCAGTCTGAGCTAACGGAGGAAAAAAATGAGCCTTGATAATCTGACAAAGTATGTTGTAATACAACCCTACCTATAAATAAAGTATTTCTGGAATGGTAGTACTGAATGCTGTCTTGAGAGGCTGACAATTACACTTGTAGCAGGTTAGTGTCAAGAGAAGGGACACCACTTTCCCACATCCTTTAAAGATGCCTGATAGTAGGCGATTGTGGCATACATCAAAAGGGGTTATTTGTAGCAGGGTAAAAATAGTTTCCATGAAGGTTCTCTCTCCCCATCTCATGGTGAAAAAGGAAGCCTGAAACTGCCTTCACAGTGCAACTTGATAAGTGTAACTAATACTCTGAAGACTGATGAAATAGTAACAGGATCACCCTAATTTAAACATCCTATCTTTCCTTCTCACCTAACTCGTAGAATACATTATCCTCAGGACTCATGGTCCTTTCATCTTTAGGTGGCTTCCAGAGGCTGGAGGACCACTTAATGGAGATGTAAAGATTTTTGCTTTAGGCAGGAGCGGGGCTAGATTACCTTTGAGATCTCTTCCGTAGCTATAAAATAGAAATGCCTTCCCTATACAGTTGGCCAAATGCTAACTCTTGAATTAAAAAAAAAAAAAATGAAGGGCCACTGTACCTACAGGCATATTTGATTTCGCTTCTACTTCTGTCCCCATATCTTCTAGATGAGGGTTCTCTTTTTTTGGGGGGGGGGGTGAGGCAAATTGGGGTTAAGTGACTTGCCCAGAGTCACACAGCTAGTGAGTTTTATGTGTCTGAGGCCGGATTTGAACTCAAGGTCCTCCTGATTCCAGGGCTGGTGCTCTATCCACTGAGCCACCTAGCTGCCCCCTAGATTAGGGTTCTTAACCTGGGGTCCTAGATTTCAAAGAGGTCCATGAACTTGGATAGAAAAAAATTACATCTTTATTTTCACTAACTTCTCGCTGAAATTTAGTATTTTCTTTTATTTAGAAAAGGAAAATTCACAAGATTTTCCATGGTTTCATCAGATTATAAAAGGGTTCCATGATACACTTGGAAAAGTTAAGAACCCTTGACCGAAGCAGCTAGGTGGCACGGTGAATAGCCCTACAGTCAAAAAGACCTGAATTAAATCTGGCTCAGACACTTATTAGCTGTTTGACCTTAGGCAAGTCACCTAACCTTTGTTTGCCCGTTTCCTCAACTTTGTAAAATAGGGATGATATTGGCACCTGCCTCTCAGGGTTGCTTTGAGGAAAAAAATGGGACAAAATTTGTAAAGCACTCTGTAAAGCTTAAAGCATTACATAAAAGCTAGGTATCACTATTATTGTGTACAAAAGCTTGGAGATAATTAAAGGAAATATCTTCATTTTTCCCATGGGGAAAAATGGTTCAGAAAGGGTGATTTGCCCTGGCTACCTGGCCAATAAGTGTCAGGGCAGGAATTCAAATGCAGGTCTTGCTGAGGGCTAGAACATAAGGCATAAATTTATGGATTTTTTTTTTTTTGGTCACCTCAATCATCAACTGGCGTTGACTCTTAATCCCTAAGGGGGTGAAATCCACTTTGCTTAGGCTCACTCACCAATTTATTGAACCTAATGAAAGGACCTTAGAAAAGAACTTTAGTGTTGCAGAAAAGCAACATGAGGTGGGGCTTCAAAGACTTTCTTTTTATTTGGCAGACTGGTAGATAGTTTAGATTCCAAGAGAGAAGCCCACATACTGGTAATAGCTTGGAATGGAAGGCTGTGTTGTACAATGGAGAGAATACTGAAATTAAACTCCTCTGGCCTCAGTTTCCTTATCTGTAAAATGAAGGGAGTAGATCACCATTAAGGATAAGTCCTTTCCAGCTCTCCAGCTTTGGGCCTATGATCTATCTATAAAAGCAGCCTGAGTACAGCATTGTATCCATTTTCTTCTAGCACAATGGCACAACACATACACACACAAAAGAAAAAAATTCTAAACAATTATAATAGGCTTTCTTAATATAAATCACAACATAGCTCTTTTCCTTTTAAGAAAATTTTATTTCCCACTTATACAATTTGGTCACAACACAACAATATTTTACATAAATGGCAGTTATTTTGAAATCTTCATTTTAAAGGCTCTGTATCTGAGGTGATAAAATCATATCAATACAAGAAATATAAAAAAAAACCAGTGCAAATTGTACATAGCACACAGCTTCCATAGCATGAGTGAGTGAGGCTTAATTCTGCATATGTTCACCTCTGTCAGTACTGCTGGGCCCAGCTGTTAAAATGGAAAATTCCTGGCTTTCCTTCAGTCTGAAATCAACAATCAGAACCAGAAATGGGATCTTTAAATGAAGGCCTCAGCAACCACATCAACTAAAGCAGTCCAACACCCAGTTTAGTAGATCACAACCGATGGCATTTGCAAGCTATATGATGTTACATCTTTCAGTGGTTTCAAAGGATGATCAGAAGTTTTTTCTTTGAAGATCATACAGTTTTACTTGCCACAATAGGCTCTATCTCTGGTTGTAAAGCTTTTTTTTTTCCCTTTACAACATGAAATGATTTTAGATGAAAGGTACCACAGTACAGGTTTAGGATATGCAAGGGGAGGGCCTTGCACAGAGTAGGTGCTTAATAAATGCTTGTTAAACTAGGAAAAAAAAAAAACTTGCACAATACGCCTGAAGCCTGACTTGTAGGCACCATCCCCCAAAGAAAGCCACCTCCATGAACCAATTAGTCTTTGGCCTCTTGTGGATACTACAGCAATGCTTAGCACACGGCTGGGCACACAGTGACTGCTTAATAAATGTTTGTTGATTGAATACTGCTAAAACTCATAGTACTCACTATAATGTGGACAGCTGTCCATTAGGAACAGGGCTGCAACTGTAATAACAATCCATTAAGAACAAAGATGAATCCAGCAAGCTCATTTCACGTAAGTCACAACAAACATCTACAATATAGGAGTGCATTTCATTCAGCAATAAGCTAGGCATGGCTATCTTCCTTTTTTCCCCACCCCCTTTATGTTTTTGTTTTTGCTTTTTTTTTTTAGCTAAAATGGCACATTTGTTAAGCTGCTTATACTCTACAGGGATAGGCATTATACAGAAACACATAAAAAGGCAAACTGGATTTCAAACAGTAACCTGAAGTGAAAGGCTTTTTATAATCCATTGCTTGTCCTGTGAAATTACCTAGTTCTCTGACTCTAAAAAGTAACTTATGGCTAAAAGTTAATTAAGACCATATAAACCTGTTTTATTTGTCTAGACTCAAGCAGGCTGGAAACCTCACAGAAGAAGAAAAACATCCTATTAGAAAATGTGCTTCTAGATCACATTTTCTGCTTTTATTAGTTGCACACACACAAAAAAAGTGAGCTCCCTGCCACCCCAGGGTGGTCTGTTAGATGACTGGCTTTGCATTTTCTGGCATTGGAAGACCCCTTGCCCCCTCTCCCCTTCCTCCACCCTCCCTCACTCCCAATGAAATTTTGTCCCTTGCTAGCAATGTTAATGTCCTTGGGACTACTGAAATAAAAAAAAGACATTTTTTTTTTTTTTGCAGTTGGTCAAAGAGACCATAATCAGATCAGAACGAGAAAGCACCGCTGTCACACAGCATGGCAGGCAAAATAAAATGGTGATCATGAAGTTCACCAAATTATTGGTGTGCAGGATCCAGATTTATAAAACACTTAATTTTCTACAAAAAAATACAAATACACAGGGAAACACAATCAGCATAGTTAAAGGCAAAATAACCCTAATAAACATACCCATGGTCATATTCTCATCAAGGATCCCCAGAAAACTGAAAGACATTATGTTGGTAATTGTGTGTATTAGAGTAGGCCCTTAATAAAGTGCTTCTTCTGCATCACTTTTTCTGTATCTAATTGGGCATTACTCTTCTCATAGTCCTTTACTAAATCCTTCCTTTGAATCTTTCCAGTTGATTCTGTTTTTCCCTCCTTTCCCTGGGACTGCCGCATGACTAAATGAGATTTGCAAGAGCACAACTAGGTGGCATGATTTTTCCTTAAGAGTTAAAGGAAAGGAAATAATTTATTATGCTTCATACCTATTGCTTATAATCACTGGATCATAGGAATTACCACTGGCTGTGGATCTGGACCAAAGCGAGACGTGACCTCTTCTAGTCTTGGACTAGAAGGGAGATCCAAGACTAGAATGGCCCAGTCTAGAGTGCCCTGGAGTAAGTGGATTTCCCCCTAAGACCCACTCTATGGGATCCTGATAAGACTATGAGGAGAACCCAAAGCTCATTTTTATGTCACGTGGTCTTCTGAATCTCTGCAATTCACCATAGGTCATCATGGTGGTGAGAGGCAGTGTTGTACAGTGGAAAGGGCACTGGATGTTGAAAGATGTGGTTTCAAATCCTGGCTCCATCACAGACTTGTTCCAGCTTCAACTGAGTGGCTGTTGGCAAGTCACAACCTCAAAGAGTCCCAGTATCCCCATTTATAAAATGGGATTACAACTACTGATAGTTGCTACTTGGCTCACAGGGTTGCTGAGAAGAATACACTTAGGAAACTGCTATAGAAGAATTTCTCATCTAAACCTAGAACAGAAAATTCCCTACATACAGCTCTAGACCAAAAAGGGACTTTTGGATATGCTAAGGCCCCCGTCTACCAATTAATGGACACCCTCTTGAATGACTGATTAAAATTGGAATATACAGACTGTCAACATGTTAGTATTTTACCTATTCTAACTCAATCTCGAATAGATTTTTACATTTTTTGCTTCTTTTGGAAATTGCTGATCCAAAATTCCCAAAGGCTCCAACACCAATAAATGATGCTTTTGTGGGAAGGGGAAATGTCACACATCTACTTATTGAATGCCAAAAAGAAAGACAGAGTGACACCAAGGAATCAGCTCCTTCCCAAGTGGAGCCTGGAAGGTTGGCTCCTTTACAGCCAAGGAGTTACAACCATATTTTTAAATATTTGGGTGCTGGTTATCCAGTCCTATGGATTGATGCATACCTCTTGAATCACACCTGTCTTTGGTCATTTTGCAGTTCATTTTCACCTTCACAAGAGTATGATGAAGGTAATAAGTGTGAGGGAAAACTTGCCCATTATTCTGATTGTAGTCAACAGTTTCAGTAAGATAACTAGTAAGAAATTAAAATACGTGGCCTAAAATAAGGTACATCACCATACATCTGGCACTCAGGAGAAGTGGTAAATAACAAAATTCATTTTTCTTTATCAAAAAAATTATAGAGACAAGAATCTTACAAGTTTCTAAGATTATAAAATATCTTTTCCCTCCCTGGAACACTTGACCAAGGAAGCAACTATGTATTTGAGAAGTACAGCTCTAGTTACGTTCCCCAATGCTGCCTTCCTGTACTTATCCCAATGGGACTCCTGCTTTACCACTGGTTAAATAAACAACTACAGTCAGTTGCCACAGGAAGCAATTTCTCACCGGGAGTCAAGTTACAGGCCTGTGTGAAATCTGGTTGTTCTAATGAGCTAAAAACTGTCAGCTAACACCAAGAGACCAGGGATAGAAATAGTTGCAAATGAAAGTTATAGGAAGTACTGACATTTCTGAATTATGTACAGTTTATGGAGATATAATAAAAACTCTCTAAAGTAACATTCATAGAAAGACTAAAAAAAGGTGGCAGTATTTTCCCTTCACTGGCTGTAAACAAAGTCATCTTTAAGGAGTTACTGGTTATCTTTGGGCTTACAAAAGGTTGTATCCATGACATCAAGGATGTTACTCCCTCCCCCAAACTGAATCATCTTGTTTCTACATCATATTTTCTAAGACTGAATAACCCTTAGTGCAGAAATGCTACTTCTTTGAACTATCTTAATTTTCTGAAGTGCAAATAAGAATACACGATTTAGTGGAATTTTGGGGAACAATCAGGAAAAAGGAGTAATTCATTAATTAGAGGAAATAGTATATACCCTGTTTTTTTTCCTCTTTGTAGAAACTGAGAAGATGTGAAAAGGGTAAATGGAAAACAACATATAAGTGGAATGGGAAGAGATACCAACTAACTTCCCAAAATGACAGTTCATGCTGGAATAACAAGTGGAATATTAAAACATGGGTTCTGCAACGTACTGCTAGAAACTGTTGACTTTTTTAAATACTTAAGATGGAAAAAAAAAATTAAGCCCTTGGTATTAATCACTCCCACAAGGCAGAAGCAAGTACTTCTCCTTTTGTGGAAATCATCACAATCTTACGCCAACACCTTACCAGGTGAACCATGGAAAACTTGAATTACTACTGGTATTATTTATATTGAACAGATACATCCTTAGGTAAAAAAATATACATACCCACACACACACATAAGGTTCTGCATCTAGACTTAGAAATTACTGCTATACACAATATTGACTGTAACAATTGTCTTTATAATTATATTTGATTGTCCTTCCTTCACGATTAGATGTGTAACATTAGATTAGGCCCCTGGTTCGTCTAAGTTTCTGCTCTGCTTCTTAATGCCTTATACTTTATAAAGTGACAATTACCATATAATTATCCCTAGAAAACTGTGCTATCTGGAATACCAGAAGATACATTTGCAATCACTTTCCACCCAGAAATGTGAAAACCAGTGGTCACTTCTTAACCTCATTGTCCCTATGCAAATAAATACTTGCATATTCATTATATACAAAGCATCCTCCACCCACCCACCCTTAAGATTTTTCAAATCCATCACCCGAATTGTGAAGCAGTTTTCATTTTACTGAGTGAAAAATTACTTCTCTTGTCAGTCTGTACTCCTCAATCTCTATCCTTTTCAGCTCCTGGTGATGAATTCATTAGGGAGGTGTTCAGAAATGAATGGCTCTACTTTCACTATTTGAATATAAAAATCTCTAAATTGTGAGGTCAGGAAGATATTGAGTTTCTTTCTGTTACAGTCTCAAAAACCTGAGCTTGGCCTTGTAGTGCCTTTTAAGAAACTGGTGTTAGAATGAGAAGCCTGCAAAGGACACCAAAGGGTTAAGTGGAAGTGCGATCCCCGCGGCACCGTCCCCTGCCGAGATCAGCACAGAAGGCATTTCAGACAATGTCTTCGGCAGGGGGGTGGAGTGTGCGTGTGCCCAGGCTTGAAAACTGATGCCAGTTCCGTAGGAAGCCCCGGTTATACTGGCCTGTGTCCACGATCAGCCCACATAGGAGCCGGCGCCCGGTCTTCTCTCGAAGGGCCTGCTGAACCTCCCTCTCAGTCACATTGTAACTGATGTTTATCAGTTGGATCAGGAAAATATAGGCCATGCCTGCTGTTATGATCACAGAGTACCATACGCAGGTAAAGGAGAGAGCAGAGCTGGTCGAAGAAAAAGAACAATATTTAGCACTGTTGTTTCCCACAAATTAGGATAATCCTTACCATTCTAATATGATGTATTTGGTATTCTTCACCAGGGAATTCCGAAGTCAAGCAAGAAACATAATCCGTTTCACAGATAAGGAAGATAACACGCTGGCTGGAATTCTCTCCCTCCAGATCTCCATCTCTAGGCTTCCCTAGCTTCCTTCAAGTCCCAGCTAAAATTCTACCTTGCACACCTTTCCCTGTCCCCCTTAAAGCTAGTGTCTTCTCTCTGGGATTATGTCCACTTTATCATATACATATGCTTTGTTTGCCCCATCAGACTGTGAACTCCTTGAAGGCTGCCAATTCTTTGCATCACCAGTGCTTGGCACGATGCCTCGTGCTTAATAAATATTTGGAGACTTGACTATGGCACTACTGTATACTCAAGCACACTCCAGAAAGGAAACCTGGGAATAAATCCATTCAGCCAATATCATTAATTAAATATCTACTATCTTATTTCTGTTTAGTATGATACCAATGACAACCTACAGGTAAGACACAGAAGCCCTATATTTAACTATAAGACATGCAAGGACGTTGAAAGGACTCTGCTCTTTCCAACATTTTATCAGTGACTTGGATGGAGGCAGGGATGGCATGCTGACCAAATTTATGGACAACCTGTGGTTATGAGGAATGACTAATATAATGACAGAATCAAGACCCAAAAAGACCGTAATAGACTAAAATAATGGGTCACATCTAATATTATAAAACTTAAGTAAGGATAAATGTTAAGTCATAAAGTTGAGTTTAAAAAAGCAAACACAACCGTACTAGTATAACACAGCAGAGATGGAGCTAGGTAAGATCTATACTGAAGGATCAATATGAGTCAACAGCATAACCTAGCAACCTCAAAACGTGGTCAGCTTTCTTGTTGTTGTTGTTTAGTCATTTCAGTTGAGTCTGACTCTTCACAACCCCACTGGAGGTTTTTTTGGCAGAGATACTGGAGTGGTTTGTCATTTCTTTCTCTAGCTTATTTTACAGATGAGGGAACTGAGGCAAATAGGGATAAGTGACTTGCCCAGAGTGTCTAAGGCTGGCTTTGAACTCATGAAGATGAGTTCCTGATTCCAAGCCGAGTTCTTTATCCACTGCGCCACCTAGTTCCCCCATAGTCCTCTTAGGACTCATTAAGGTGTACAGAACAAGGGTGATTAACTGAATCAGTCAAAGGATCTGGGAACGTTTTAGTCTAGAAAAGGGAAGACCTGGGAGCAGAATAACCATCTTCAAATTTTTTGAGCCTAGTTACCCAGAAAAGGGATTAGGCTTGTTTTGCTTGTTCCTTTAGGACAGAATGCGGGTGGGAATGGGTAAAAACAAAAAGAATTTACATTTGGTTAAATATAAGGAAAAAAACCTTAACAATGAGAGATGTCCAAAAGGGGAATGGACTGCCTAGTAAATTCCCAATAACCAGAGGTCTTACAACACAGCCTGGATGACAACTGGTCAGGGATGTTGAGGAAGGGACATTTGCTCACATATGAGTTGGAAAGATGATCTCAGATCCCTGCTAACCAAAGAGGTTTGTTTTTTTTTAATTTCCAAATACAAGCACCCTAAAAAGAATGAAGTATCACATGGACATGGGGAGAGGGATGTTTGATCTCTACATGATACTGTCTTTTCAGGGGTATGCTAGTAGGGATTCGTGCAGACATCATCCATGAAGAATTAGCTAGAAATAAATTCAATCATGGAATAGTAGAACTGAAAACGTCCAGAGAGAGTCAACTTGTCCATTTTCTCATTTTACAAGGAAGTAAGCTGTACAAAGTCAGTTTGTTAAGGCAGAAATGGGACTAGAACCCAGCCTTCTGATTCAAAGTTACTGCCTTTTTTTTGGGAGGCAATCAGGATTAAGTGACTTGCCGAATTTGGACTCAGGTCCTACTGACTTCAGGTCCAGTGCTCTATCTACTGTACCAACTAGATGCCCTTTGCCTCTTTTGACAATACTGCAACTCTCCTCTTCCCCTGCAATGCTTCACTACATAGGTTACCACAGAGCTATAAAATGGCAAAAATCAGCAATCTCCACTAACCTGGCCCAGATTCTACAAATTTCAGGTTACTGGGGGCACATGGAAATTTGCTTGAATCATTACTTGGGCATAACTTGATACCCACTTCATTGAATAATTTCACACACACACACACACACACACACACACAGAGATAGGTAAGAACCTTATCCAAGCCATGAACTGGGAGCAGATTGAAATAATCTAGTTCATGATTTCCAAACTTTTTTCATTATGTGACCAACTTGAAGATGATTGAATTCACCATGCAACATACCAAATAATGGCTTCAAATAACGGTGCTGATGTGACAAGAGAAGGAACAAAGAAAATTAAAACCAATAATGGTTTTTTAGGAGAAGGAGGAAGGAAAAGGAGACAATATTAGGAAACCAATGAACACCTGGACTTAAATAAGCCTCAAGGTCGGAATATAGAGAAAAAAGAAAACAGACAGGAGCAACCCCTAGCAGTCTGTGTGGGGAAGGAGCCAAATCCAGAGATCTGAGAGTACCTCAGCTTGCCATGATATTTAATCAAGTCCTCACTGAACACTGGGACGTACCAACACAAAGATTAGAAAAGAGGGACCTCATTATCACAAGAAACGTCAGGAGAGCAATGCAAAAAAGCAAAAGTCACAGAGGCTATTAATCAATCAACAATCAAGCATTTATTAAGTGCTTACTGTATGCTAACCTCTGTGCTAGGAGATACAACAGAAATGCAACAATCTTTGCTCTCAAGAAACCCATATATTCTATCAAGGGAAAGGACATGTAGGTATAAGAAAATACAGATTAACTTCAGAGGGTCACTAAAGAAAGGGGTGGAGAGAGTTAAGAAAGGCTTCATGTAGGGAGGAGAACTTGAGTCAAACTTTGAAAGGAGCTAGGGATTCTAAAAGAAAGAGGTGAGCAGGGGAGCCCATTCCAGGTAAGGGCACAGATGGGAGATGGACTCTTGTGTGCAAGGAATAGTAGTAAGTTGTGACAAATGAAAAACCTCAAGAGACAAGAGTTTCTGGGTATTTAAGAACCAATTTATTGCTAATATATAATTACATAATCATGTGATTTATGATTATATTGTATATATTATATTACATGCTATAAGCTAATAATGAGTATATTGGTGACAGTGGTTTCTCTCGGTAACCAAAGACCCCAATGGAGACCCTGAATGCCTTAAAAAACCCTTCTGAAAGGGAATTCCTTTGACAAGCGAAAAATCAACCCTGACTGGTGAACATTTAATGAGGAGGTGGGCTAAAAGTCTGCAGCTCCCACTGAGAAGTGATTTGATCCTGAGACTCGGTAGCCTCCAGCAGTCTGGACATCCACCTCTACCCAGACCACTCTGCTTGGTTTTTTTCTTCATGAGCTGAGTACAAGGACAGGGCCTCCTTTCCCCAGGAGAAGGACTCACTCAGACTGGATTCTATTTAAACTCTAAACAGAAGTTAGGTCTCCTAGCTGGGTGGGGTCTCTCCCAAGAGCAGGTTCCTTGAGGGTTAAGGATAATCTTATCAACCAGTCATGTCCTTCAGAGACTGACTTTAACAAGAACTGGGCCTTAATAAGGAAATGGAGGAGAAAAGCCTGGATCCCAATTTAATGATTAGTTATTAATATAATACTACAACAATAATTTCTCTCAAAATAGAACAGTTTGGCTAGAATGTAGCATGTGCGAAAGAGAGTAATGTATAGTAAGCCTAGAAAGTTTGGCTGAAACCAGATTGTGAGAGCTTTAAGTTAAAAACAGTAGTTTGTATTTGATCCTAGAGGAAACACTGAGCCACAGCAGCATCTTGAGTGAGGGTGTCAGAGGAGCATGGAGAGGATTGGTGGTGTTTCACATGGTCAGACCAATGCTTTAGGAATATTCAATTGCTAGTTACGGGGAGGATGGATTAGAAGAGAACAATTAGGAAGATATTGCAATAGTCCACACAAGAACTGCAAAGGGCAAGAAGAAGGGCAGCACAGTGGATAGAGCACTGGCCCTGGAGGCAGGAGGACCTGAGTTCAAATCCAGCCTCAGAATCGTAACACTCACTAGCTATGTGACTCTGGGCAAGTCACTTAACCTCAATGCCTCACCACAAAAAAAAGGGGGGGGGCAGTAACTACATGAATGAAAAGAAATGGATGGATATTAAAGATGTTGGGGAGAGAGAATCCATGAGACGTGGCAGTTGAGTGGATATGGCAATGATGGAAGTGAGAATGACTTAAGCTTGCAAAAGGAAATCACTGGAAAAATGGTGGTACCCTCAAGAGAAACTGGGCAGTTAGGAGGAGATATGATTTGGGGATGACTTGAGGACTTGTGTTTCAAACAGGTTGAATGTGAGATGCCCAAAGGACATCCAATAGGATGGAAAATGCCCAATAGGAAATTGCTGACACAGCACTGGAGCACAGGAAGAGAGACTGGGGATGGAGAGATAGATCTCAACAGTCATCTGCACAGAGATGATAACACTGAGCCCCTGGGAGCTGAGGAGATCACAGAGGGTAAAGGTATCAAGGGCCCAGGAAAGGGTCTTGAGATACACCCATTTTTTGTAGGTAGGACATGTCTGATGAGGCTATAAAGAAGGAAAGACAGTCAAGGGAAACTGAGCCACCAGAACTTAACAGGATAGTAGTAAGTGAAGCTTAGTTAGAAAGCATGAGTTGAAAGGTATTTACATACAACGATTTAAACTCTTAGTTTTAATCACTTTACAAGGGCACCCAAGTGATTGATTAGTATTTTAATTATCAGGTAACATCATATACTAGTAGAGTGCTGGATTTAGAGCTAGGAAGACTTGGGTTCAAATCTTGCCTCAAACGTTTAGTTATTGTCAGTGTAATTCGAAGTAAGTCATTCAATTTCTCTGAGCCTCAATTTCCTCATCTGCATAATGGAGAATAATAACAGTCATTATCTCGTAGGATTGTTGAGAGGATCAAATTTTTATTTCTATATATACACACACATACGTATATACACACATATACACATATATGTATATATGTATGTCTGTATAAATGTGTGTGTATGAGAGAAGAGAGAGAGAGGAAGACAGGAAGACAGAAAGAAGAGAAGAGAAAGAGAGACAGGGAAGAAGAAAGAGAGAGACTGAGACTTTGAAAAACTTTTAAAGCACTATGTCAGTTACTATTATTACCATTCCTAGTGGCTCCCTATGTCAAATGACCACATCAGATGGATTTCTGACTGTATTATGCAGGAGGACCTAACTCCAAAGGCATTCTTTTGTCCCCTTAAAGGACACAAACCATTCCCCCTTCCCGTGGTCTCTCCCCTTGAACCCATTTCTCACCTGTAGTTTGCATAAACTCCTGGGCAGTAGAAAAGAGCTGTGAAGATGCTCCTGTCTCTACAGATGGTGTCCAAGGCCAGGGTGATCCCATACACGGAGGTGACTAAGAAGACTGACAGTGCAAGGATGAATGCTTGATGATTGGATTCTCCAACACAGCTATTGATCCTCAAAAGAGGTGGGGGGGGGGGGAAACCATTATTTTTTTTTAAAAACTATACAGGTAAACTCACTTACCACAAACAGCAATGCAGATTTTAGAACCTAAGGTGACTGTCTGGGTCACAGGGGCAAAACATGCTGTAAATAAGGATCTGTTACCATTATTCATGCCATTAGTTCAAGTAAGAAGTAGATCATGGCTCCCTAACCTGTCTATAATTTTAACATTATTAACATCATGAGGAAGGGAAAATAAACATCACCTTAATGAATATGTGCAAATAACTAAATTAAAAGGTGCTTTTAACACCAGTAAAGGAAGAAATATAACAGATTCAGAAAGATTCCGGGAACAAAGATAAGAATGGAAAATAGGTCTTAAAACTTGGAAATAAGCAGATTACATAATCTGAGAAGGATAATCTTGAAAAATATTTACATGTCATTTATGATGAAGCCTATTTGTGCTGGTCACTCTTGTCCATTTGCAAATAGGCAGATTCAAGTATGAAAAAAGAGCTCCTTTCAATGTATATGGAGGGCATCTGCCCATCTGCAAATGGGCACCTGTCCAAAATAGAATATGCATGTAATTACATCTACTTTGTGCATATATGAACACCTGCTATACACGGCTATATCTGTATATAATCAGTGAGAGAGCATCAAGAGAGAAACACCTGAAAATTCTTTGGGGAAAACATGACCCCTAAAAGTAAGGCCACATTTGAAAGTAAATGCCAGCAACACAAGAGCTTGCACTCCCTATACTTATCCCCCATAATAACCTTGGAAGAAAGAAACACAGCTATTTCTCAGACCCAACTTCATGCAAATTCCCCTGACTGATTAAGGGATTAATGATTAATAAATAACAATAATAAATTACTAATTAATCAATCAACTAACACTTATTAAGGGCCAACTATGCGCTAGGCACCAAGTCATACAAAAGACACAAAAACAAAAATAACATCCTTGTCCTACCTTCAACAGAAAACAAGCTATTCAGGCAAGTTCTAGAATTAGTCAGTAACTAAACAACTAATTAATGCTGATGGTCTTCCCCCCTCCCCCCTTTTGGGAAGATTTAAGTTTACTTCACAACAGAGAAAAAAATCCAACATCAATATTCAGGCTTAATTTACTCTTTGATACAAAACGTCACCTTTTAAGCACTATGATGGTGAAATAAGCAAGGAGTATGTAACATTCAGACCTGATAAACTCATATAAATCTAGATTTATATGTTTACCTTTTAACATTCAAGTGTATTTAGAAAAGGCAGCAAATCCATCCCTCCTAAGATTGTTCATATAAATGAAACATCAACCATTTATAAAAGGTTGAAAAGTTACATGTGCCTTCCTTCTTGTTTAATCAGTGGTGACTTAAGCCGTACAAAAGGGGACCCTTTCTCCAAATCAGTGTTAAACCTAAAGAGCTTTAGCTTCCAGCTTTCTACCAGATGCTGTTGAAATCAGCATGGAGCAGCCAAAGTGATTAAGGAAGCTTGGGGTAAAGAACATAGATAGTCAAGTGTTTCAATGCACTGTTGATACAAAAGGCCCAGTTAAAATGCAAAAAATAAAAATAAAAAAGGGGGTGGGGAGAGAGAGAAAAGGGAAGCTACCTTGGGCTACATATTCACAAGGCATCACACTCCATTGCTTCCTAATACAGAGCCAATCTTGAAAGTGGATTTATCCATGGGTCTCCTCAGAAGGCTGCTGACAAATTGGGGGCAGGTTTGGGGACAGTCGCTAAAATGACGATTAGGGGAATGGAAGGACTGAAGGGGAATGACTGAAGAGCTAAATCTGTAGGACTCAGTGATGACTAAGTGGGAGCATGATAACAGTCTACAAATATCTGAGAGGTGTAAAAGGCAGGAAGCTAAAGACTGAGGAAGGGAAAGAACAAATGTAGTTCAGAGAGTCTTAGAACCTATTTTAGCTTAAAGCAGGGGCTCTTAACTCTTGCTGTTCCATGGACCCCTTCGGTAATCTGGTGAATCAGCCTTTGGACCCCTACTCAGAATAATGTTTTTAAATCATAAAATTTTAAAAACCTAGGATTAAAAAAGAAAACCAACTATATTGCTATTAAATTTTTTTTTAAAAGTTCACAAACTCTAGGTTAAAGCTTAATTTAACTTTGATTAAATTAATTTAATTTTAATTCAATTTTATGACGGCTTAATTTAATGCCTTATTCCAGGCTCCTGGAACTTACCAGATGCAATGATGATCCATTCTTCTCACACACACTCCACATATCCGACAATGCCACGCCCGGGCTGGCCTCACCAACTGGCACTTGGCACACCAGTCTTCCTTCACCTTGTTGGGGCTCTCAACTAATGTTCTAGAATAGCTCTTAGGGTCATCCTTTACCATTCTATTGTTGACACTGCCCAGTGAGTCTCCAGAAAATCCTTTTACTTTCTCCTGCCCTTTTCTGTTTAATAACTCAACTGCATTGTTGCTTGGAAGGCTGCCATTTTGTACTGGACTTTTGAGGTAGCCAGGATTCTTCTTGGCTTGACGTAGGGCTATGAGTATCAGAAATAATCCACAAGTGAGAATAACCAGCTGTCCGTGTCCCACCCGGCCTTTGGGGGCCACTTCTTTAAGGAACACATAGTACATGTAGCCCAAGGAGAACAGCCCCAAGCTCAGAAAAAACAGGGTCCGGTCTTTCCTCCTGTGGGTGAAGTAGTAATACCCCAGTGCCAGGGCAGGAAGGGAGGTCAAGATGATAATGCCCAACAGAAGATGCCAAGAAGCTACATGGAGAAAAACTGGCAGGAGGATAAGTGGTGGGATAATGGTAATGTTGACCTTTTTGGCCCCCCTAAGCCAGGGAATTCGGAAACGATCCGAGATTGTGTCCATGATTCTCTCAAAAGTCTCCGGGTGCAAGGATTTACATGTAATCCACCTGTTGGGAAAAAGCACATGTGTTGTCTCAAAAAAAAACAAACAAAAAACAAACCAAAAACTGAAGGCCAAGTCAAGCCAACAAGCATTTATTAAATACCTACTATGACAGTCAAAAAACATTTATTAAGTGCCTACTACATGACAGCTAAGCTCTGGGGATACAAAGAAAGGCAAAAAAGACAATCCCTGCTCTGAAGAATCTCACAGTCTATAAAGGGGAAGACCACATATACAACCAAATATAAACAATATACAGACAGGATAAATTGGAAGGCACTAGAATAAAGGGAGATTGGGGAAGTCTTCCTGTAAAGGGTGGGATTTTAGCTGAGTCTTGAAGGAAACCAAGAAAGTCAGAAGGTGGGAAAGAATTCCAAGTATGAGGGAGTGTCTTGTCCAAGGAACAAGAAGAATGGCAGAAAAGGACCAGGGGGAAAAGGGAGTAAGGTGTGAAAAGACTAGAAACTACAACGAACCTATGACACAACACTCATAACAATTTTTTAGCTCAGGTAGCATTTATTTTTGATGAAGGGAAAATATTTGCAAAACCTATAAAAAATAAAAGCTATTTTTCCAATTAACAAATGGAAACAAATATTTACTGAACATCTGCTGTGTATAAAGTACACAACTAGGTAACATAAGAGATCTACAATCATGTACTGGGTGATCCAAAAGTCTTAGTGAAGTTTTAAAGCATCAAGGTCTAGACAGACAAAATACATGGAAAGCTAAATAATAATTTAAACTACTATTTATTAAGCACTTACTGAATTAGAGGCAATGAGTTAGGTACTGGGAAAACATGGGAAAAAAAAAAAAGATCGTCCCCTTATAGAAGGGACTTTTAGTAGGGGATGAAATACCTACACACATAAGGAAATACAAAGTAATGAGGTGGGGGTCCACTAACTGGGGAATCAGAAAAGGCTTCATGTAGGAGTGAGTGAGATTCTATGAGGCAAGGAAGTCATTCCAGGCATGAGAGACAGCCAGGGCAAAATCATGGAGATAGGAGATGGGGTGTTAAGTATGAGTAACAGAGACAAGGCCAGTTTGGTTGGACAGTAGAGCACTGGAGGGGAAATAATCTATGATGAAAACTGAAATAAGGTTGGGGAAAGGTCCACGATAAGAGAAATGTCCGTTTTTAATTAGGGAAGTGGAACTCTTATAATAATGGTGAGATCCAAATGTGTGACCAAACCTACAAGTGGCTGATGTGGGGTAAAGGATTATGTCATGGGATTAAAGGAATTTAAGGAGTCTGAAGAAGCACCATGCTGAAGTTTCCAGGTGTTAGGGGAGTTGAAGAGGAAAGGAAGATGGTGAGCCAGGTGCTCAAGTGAAAAAACAGACTAAATTAGGGTAGCTTCCAAATGAGTAAAGAGGATAGATTTGAGACATGAGGTGGAGACAGAATCAATGATACATTTGAGACATGAGGTAGAGACAGAGTCAATGATACTTGTCAACTATGCCAAGTGAAGATATGGCAGAATGAGGGAAGAAGAGAAATTCAATGACTTGGAGGTTGCAAACTTTGGTGGCTGGGAGAATGGTGAGAATGGTTAGCAGGAATGGTCCATTTAGGGGGAAAGATAATGAGCTGTTTTGGACACACTGAGTTTGACATGCCTATGGATCATGGAGGCAGAAAGAACAGACAGGGAGTCAAAGATGTGGGACTGGAACAAAAGAGAGATACCTGATGGATAGATAGGATCATACAGGATAAATATGTGGGAAGTAGAGTTGGGGAGAGGATAGGAAAGACTTAGAGGCTATCTAATCCAATTTCCTTCATTTTACAGATGAGGAAACTGAGGCCAGAAGGATTAAGCGAGTCATCCATGGTCACACAGGCAGTAAGTTAAAGAAGTGAGATTTGAACCCAGGTCCTCTGACTCCAGATCCAGATCCAACGTCCTTTGATGATAACTCAGCCGACAATGTACATTACTATAACACTGTGAATTAAAATATCACTAAATAGAAACCAAACTCTAAGTAACTAAAAAACAAATAATGATCCTAGAGAACAGATAAAGACACAACCTTCCCTCCTTCCCCTAGGCAGAGAAGAGACATTACAAAGACAGAATGTGGCATCACCATCATTACCATCATCATGAGACCCAACCTTTATACAACAAAAAGAGCTTTAAGATTTGCAAGGCACAGTGTATCTTATCTCATTCGATCCTTATAACAATCCTGTGAGGCAGGTATTATTGTTTATATTATCTCCACTTTACGGATAAGAAAGACTAAGATAGATTTAGTGACTTGCTCAAGGTCACACAGGAGTGTTTGAGGCAGGATTTGAACCCAGGTTGTCCCAATATCAAGTCCAGAACTCAGCCACTGCAGCATCTAGCTCTCTCCAACAATAGCTAGGCTTTTTACAGCACTTTTTTTGCAAAGCACTTTACAAATATCTTAGATCCTCACAACCACCCTGATAGGTAGGTATTACTCCCATTTTACAGGTGAAAAAATTGAGGCAGAGGTTAAGTGACTTGCCAAGAGTCACACAGCTAGTAAGTGTCAGCGGTGGGATTTGCACCAAGGGCCCTAAGTACAGCACTCTACTCGCTGTACCACCTAGCTGCAAAGACTATCAGTCACTGAATCAATGGTTTTTACTGACCTGCCTTGCTGTGTTAAAGGGAAAACTTCCATTGTGATGTAAACACAAAAGCTATCAATGAACTTATTTCCATAAAATCACCCTCACAATTATGAGATGCTGGAGTTTGCCTCACCCATCCATCTGAAAACAATCTGGGGGTTTCAGTCAACTGTAAGCTCAGTAGGAGAGAACAGCTGTTATGCAGCAGCCCCCCAAAAAGCTAATATCATTTGAGACTACACAGAGGAGCATCACTTCTAGGAACAGAGGTGCTAATCCCGTTGTACTCTGCCCCCTTCTGAAATCTACATCTTAAGGAGGACCTCAGTAGGCTGGAGGAGAATGCTTAGGGGAGGAGGTCCAGGATAGTGAAGGAGTTTGAATTCAGAACACATGAGAACCAGGGACATTCATTTGGCCTGAGGCTTATCCTCAAGTGTTTGAAGGGCAGTCAACAGAAGAGGGTGAGCCTGAGAAGGAAATGGTAAACCACTGCAATGTCTTTGCCAAGAAAACCTCAAATGGGGTCATGGAGGGCCAGACGTGACTGAACAACAATTACAACAGATGAGGGAGGACTTGTTTTGCTTAATCCTAGAGAGAAGAACCCAGAACAAAAGGTAGAAACAGCAAAGAACCTTGATAGTGGGTGAAAACCTCCTAAAACTAGTTATCCAAAAGTAAAAGGGGCTGCCCCAGGAGGAAGAGAGTCCCTCCCCTCAAAACCTCAGGTCTTCAAGCAAATGCTGAGTGACCGTCATCAGCATGTACTAGATGAGATTCTTATTGAAATATGACTTGGAGTAAATGGCTACTTCCCTCAGTGACATTCTATGATTTCATAATTATCAAAGAGGCTTAGAAACTGATGAGAAGCCCTAAAGACCCTAACCCCAAGATGTCGATTCAGAAGTCTCCCTCTCCTTGGCCAAATGCAGCACGCCAACATCGCTGGCTTAGCTCTTGGAGCAATAGAAGACATGTTAAAAGGCAGTACATAAATAATTGCTGAATGAATGATGCAGACAGTAAGTGCCACAAATGTTCAGTGGAAGGAGAGACCTTTATATCCTGGAACTGTCAGAAAAGGTAAGATCTCAGGTGGACCTTATAATTATAGAACTTTACTACTGGAAGGACCTTGGAGATCATCTAGTCTCCTAGTTCAGTTCCTCATTTACAGAAATAGAAACTGAGACCCAGAAAAAGGAAGGGACTTATCCAAGGTTACACAGTGAGTTAGCATCAAAGTCTGTCTGCTTACTCCTGCTCCAGGGTTCTTTCCATCATGCCTCAATTAGAGGCAGTTTACGTTGAATAGAGAACTGGACCTGAAGTCAGGAAGACTCAAAATCAAATCTGACCTTAGACAGTTAATAGCTGAGTGACCCTGGGAAAGTCACTCAACTCCTATCTGCCTCAGTTTCCTCATCTGTAAAATGGGCTGTCATGAGAATTAAATGAGATAACATTTGTAAAGTACTCTGCTAATCTAAAATCATCATATAAATGCTAGTTATCTACTTATTTCTGCTTTTGTAGGAAAGGGGAAGATTTATGAAGCACTTACTGTGTTCCAAGCACTGGAGACAGAAAGATAAAATTAAACTGTCTCTGCCATCAAGGAGCTTACAATATTGACATATTTATCTTCCCTCTCTTTCTCTTGTCCCCAACACTGAACCCTCCCTTGTAACAAAAAATTAAGGGGGAAAGGAGAGAACAAGCATTTATTAAGCATCTATTATGTGCTAGGCACCATAATGTAAGTGCCTTACAAATATATATCTCATTTGATCTTTACAACCATCCTGGGAGCTAAATGTTATTATTTTCCCCATCTCAAAGGTGAGGAAACTGAGGCAGACAGAGGTTAAGTGACTTGCTTAGGGTCACACAAGCTAATAAAGGTCAGAGGCCACTGAACTCAGTCAGGTCTTCCTGACTCCAAGCCCAATGCTCTATCCACTGAGCCACCAAGCTTTCATAAGACAGGATATACAATTAACCAAACACTGATATAATGATTTGATCTGACAGTGTAAGAAATATCTAGCCCAGTCATTCTGAAGAACAATTTGTAACTACACTCAAAGGACTATAAAATGGTGCCTATCCTTTGTCCCAGCAATACCACTACTAGGTCTGAATCCCAAAGAGATCAAAAAAAAAAAGGGAAAAGGACCTATTTGTGCAAAAATATTTAAAGCAGCTCTTTTTTGTGGTGGCAAAGAATTGAAAACTGAGGGGATGCCCATCAATTGGAGAATGGCTGAACAAGCTGAGGAATGTGATTGTTATGCAATACTATTGGTGTATAAGATATGATGAGGGGGATGGTTTCAGAAAAACCTGGGAAGATTCACATGAACTGATGCAAAGTGAAGTGAGCAGAACCAGGAGAACACTGTACACAGTAACAGCAATACTGTACAATGATCAACTATGAAAGACTTCACTATTCTGATGAAGACAGTGATTCAAGACAATTCCCAATGGACTCCAGAAGAAAAATGCTATCCATCTCCAAAGAGAGAACTCATGAACTATGAGTGCAGAATGAAATATAAATTTTTCTGCTTTATTTTTCTTGCTTTTTTTCCTTAGCAACATGACTAATTCGGAAATATGTTCTACATGAATTGACATGTATAACTGATATACTGCTTACCTTTTAAATGGGTAAGGGAGAGGAGGAAGGGAGAGAGAAAATTTGGAACTCAAAAGTTTTAAATAATGAATATTAAAAGTAAATCATATTAAAAAAAATAAATACTCTGGTCCCCATAGTCCCTCACCTTTCTGATGAAAAGAGGACCACTAAGAGTTTTATGGAATAAGAATAATAATAAATTTTTAAGATTAATTTGGACGTGGTACATAAAGACAAATTAGAGGAAATTAAAATGGGCATACCAAGTAGGAAGGTATTTGCAATTTAGGTATGAAGTTATGTGAGGCCTAGCAAAAGGAACAGAAAAGAATGGATAGAGGTAATGCCTTCAAGAAGGAAGAACCAACAAGACATAAGTGATCAGATATAGAAGCAAAGGGAGAGAAAAGGAAGGAAGAGCCAAAGGTGGCTCTAAAGTGTTGAGAATGACAGAATTTATAAAAAGTAGGAAAAAGAAAAAAAGGGGGGGCTGAAAGAAGGGTAGGCAGATGGAGAGAGCTGGCGGTAGTCAGAAGCATAAAAAGTAGGAAATTTAGGAAGGGAGAATCAGTTTGCAAAGATGAATACATGCTTAGACATTAAGTCTGGGATATCTAAATGAAAATTTACATTAGGCAGCTGGCATTGTAGGACTAAAGCTCAGAGAGAGCTGGAAGACATCGACTTGGGAGTGCTCAACATAGGGTATGTACACGCCGCAGAAAGAAAAGAGCTCTCCAAGACAGAAGAAGAAAAGAAAGAACAATAAATATTTCTTAAGCGCTGGCTATGTGCAAAGTGAGAGGTGGTACGTTTATGAGAGGCAGCTTAGGAGCTGGAATTTTCTAGCTTCAGGGCCATCTTCTGACATACATTCATACTATGGCCCCAGAACGTGACCTGGGCAGATCACACAGCTTTCAGTTCCAGAAGAGTCTCTAGTCAGCAATGGCAAAGTTTTTTCACCAGGGAGACCTCCCCTACAGAGATGAAATCAAGGTGGGGGAGGGGAAAATGTCACAAGGCAGAACAAAACTTGAGACCAGGAAAGATGTCTAAAGAAGAAGTCCCTGTTGTCAACGAGTTTTCAGTCAAGGGAAAGTCATTATTCAGGCAGAAGAGCTAAAGAAATTGGTAAAGTAACTGCAAATTTGAGCTTTCAGGCTATCAAACAAGCATTGTCTCAAGTCACTAAACCTAAGTAGGGCAAAAGAACAATAAAACTTACTGATTATTTACATTATTTAATACAGATTTTGAACCATCAACTACCCAGAACCAATACTAAACCACCTCTCAAAAGCAGCAGTAAAAAAAAAAAAAGTGTTGGTTTCTTTTCAAGCATGTGTCATTGTAATTACTACATCATTCAACAAGTATTTATTAAATACCTACTATATGCCAGACACATTAAGTACAGAGGATACAAATACAGTGAATGAAACAATTCCTACTCACAAATAGCTAATATTCTAATACTTGACTATACATATTTATTATAAGAAATCTGTTGTGGTTTTTTTTTTCCTTTAATGGGGTAAAGGGGTAGGGAGAGAAAATAGACTTCTATTAATTGTCTTTAATAGGTCAAATTAAATTAATAGTTTAACATTTTAAAATAGACAATTATATATATATATATACATATACATTATATATATATAATTTACAGAGAAAGAGACAGACAGACTAAACATAAAGAGAATACCCAAAAAAATATACAAGGTAGCTAAAGATTAAGTAGTTTGAAAAGGAGACACTAGTAGTTGGGAAAATAAGGAAAGGGTCCATGTAGAGGTGGTACTTGCACTGTATCTTGAAGGAAGACAGAGCCTATGAGACAGAGGTGAGGATAGAGGGCAATCCCAGGATGGGAAAGAGCCAATGCAAAGAGACGAGAAGTGAGGTGAGGAACCGAGAGAAAGTTGGTTTGATTGTGCTGGGAATCTCATTCGATAAAGCTACAAAGATGAGGACAAGTTGAGGCAAAATTATGAGGGGCATTAAAAGCTAAAGGAGGAGTTGATATTTGATGCTACAGACAACAGGGAGCGACTGAAGCTGACTGAGGAGTGGAGAGTATGATCGATTTCCAGCTTTAGGAAAATTACTTCACCAGAACAGTGTCGAGGACAGACTACAGAAGAGGAAGAATTGAGGCCAATCTCAAACAAAAGACTATTACAATAACCTAGGGGAGAGGGGATAAGGGCCTGAACTAAGGTGATACCTGTCTGAATATGGTAAAAGATGATCCCATTGAGCTTAAAGGATTGTCCAAAGTGGCTACATAAATGTACCAACTGTATCGAGGAACTCCAGCTATTTAGTTTTTTCTCCTCAAATCATCATAGGTTCTATCAATTCAGCAGTTTGCAACTACATGACTTCTTCACCTCACAAGAGTTATATAAGGAAATAATAAGTTTCCAACATCTCTACTCTTCTCACCTTATGTCTCCCACATAGGAGCAATTTTAAAACATTTATAATTATGTGAAGAATGGATCGTTAACCCATATTATTACTTCTGGGTACAAAAAGCTCTTTCTAAATGGTTTTTAATGGTTACCTTTTTTAATAGTACATTGCATCTCAGGGTCGAGGGTACAAAAAATTGAAAGCAACACAATATTATAATACACTGCAATGTTGCTTGCTTACCCTAACATCATCCAGCCCACTTGAGGGGGAGGAAGGGAATAAGCATTTATTAAGCACCTCCTTTCATTTGATCCTCCAACAGGGTAGGTGCTATTATTACACTCTTTTTACTGTGGAGGAGACTAAGGTAAAAGAAGTTAAGGGGGAAAAAGAAGGGAATCAGCAATTAATTACCTACTGTGTGCCAAGCACCATGCTAAGCTCCTTACAATTATTATCTCATCCTTACAAAAACCCTGGGAGGTAGGTGCTGTTATTATCTCCATTTTACAGATGAGGAAACTGAAGCAGAAGTTAAGTGACTTGCCCCCAGTAAGTGTCTGAGGCTGGATTTGTACTTAGGTCTTCCTGACTTCAACTTCAGGCCCAGTGCTCTATCCACTGCACTAACTACCTGCTTCAAGTTCACTTAAAGAACTTAAATCCTAACAAAGTTTCAGATGAAAATAGTTTGGATCTGGTTTCTTTTTTTTTTTTTTTTTTAGTTTTGATGTATTTCTCTTTTACCGTACCAACATTTACAGATTATTCCCACTCAGTGAGAAAGCTCTTGTAACAAAGTAAACAATTAAGCAAAACTAATACAAGAACTTCATTTGAAAGTATATGTAACATTCTCTGAGGCCCAGCAAACCCTCCCACCCCCACCCCAGCCATTTTTTTAAATGGAGGGAAATATTTTCCCTCCTTCCCACCACCCTCACCCCATTGAAGAAAAGGAAAGAAATTCTTGTAACAAATACAGTCAAGCAAAACAGATTCCCCCAATGACAGTACAAACACACATACAAAATTTGCTTGTGTATCTCATTCTGCATCCATTACCTTCCTTGTAATGAAAGCAAGTTTCATCACTGGTCCTCTAAAATCATGTTTCAAAACTGAAAATTATGTTTGCAGAGTACAGGGTTCTCTGTGACAGCTATGCATTCATCCTGTAGCTAACCTCTCCAATAAAGAAAACTCTGAGAAAAAGTTACTGAAGAGTGAGTTTCTTAGCGTGGATGGGTAAACCTAATAATCTCCTTAAAGGCCAGAGCCAGATTTATCAAACCTGAACCAAGAAATGAAGCTTACTTACATTTTTTGTTCAGGCATTCATTTTGCCACAGCCAATTTACCATCCTCATTCCTATTCCAAGACATCAAAATTGACAGAGCACTGGACATGGGGCCTGAAAGATCTGAGTTCAAATCCAGCTTGAGACACTTAGTAGCTGGGTGACTCTGGGCAAATCACTTAACCTATGTCTCAGTTTCCTCATCTGTCAAACGGGTATAATAATAGCACCTACCTCCTAGGTTGGTATCAGGATCAAACAAGATAATATTTGTAAAGCGTTTTACAAACCTTATACAAATGCGAGCTATTAATCTCATCAAGTCAGATATTTATGCATTAAAGTAATGGGTAATTTACTTCCACAAACCCATTATTTGACATAAGGAGCTAAAACACTAGGCAAACTCTCAGATATCTAAAAAAGTGGTTCAAGGGCAAATTCTCAGGGTTTACATGGCTAAAATATTAATGGTTCAATAGGAACCCGGAGAGCTAGCACTATGTAATGGAGAGAGTTGGCCTCTGAATCAGAAAGACTTGGGTTGAGTGTGGCTGCACATCTCTGGGCAGGTTATTCAGCCCCTCAGTGCCCCGGGGTTTTAAGCTGCAGAAGACTCAATGATCTGAATTGGGGGAGAGAATGGCCTTCCCAGGAGTGAAGGCACAGATTTATTGGGGAGGGTGGGAGGGGGGATTGACTTACCTGTCACAACCTTCATCAAGATCTTGACAATCACAAAAACTAGCAACCAGATGGTTCTTTTCCCCATTTCGATCTATGTATTCGCAGCAGCAAAGGGGTTCCAACTCTGGCTCTTCCGTTTTCTTTTTCTTTACAGTTTTCCTATTCACCTTCGGTGCCATGACCAGCCCCTGTCACCATGAGGGGAAGAACCCTCTGAGAGGAAAGAGTGCTACTGAGTACGCCTTCTAGTCAAAACAATCACTACCCTAGGTCCCTCCGGTTACTTTTAGAGATCATAGTCGTCAACACCTAAACATACTCCAAAATAACAGAAAGGAGGGAGGGAAATCATTTCCTTCAGAATTTATGGTTTCTCTTTTAAGCCTGGTGAGAGAGAGGGGCTGTCAGGCCTTTACTACTCATCTGTTGCCTCCAGCGCCTCCCCCTCCCTCTTGTGCAAGGATGCTTACTGTTCCCATGGCGACAGTGGACCACGCTCCCAGAAGCCAGGTCGGGGAGGAGGAAGACGAGAACCACCGACAGAAGCAGCCCCAACACACCTGACAGTCAGGAAAGGTAAGGGGATGGGCGGGGCGAAAAGGGCGTGACAGCCTCGGTCGGGAAACCCCACGGAGAGGGAACCCTAGTGTTCTTCAAGAAATGGGAGGGGAGGGGAGGGATGTTAGAATAAGAGGAAGCGGAGGTCACCTTGCCCACACACAGCTCGAGCCTGGAGGGGGCGTATTTGAAAGGCACCTTCCAGGAGAGCAGGTTCTCTGGGTGCAAGGAAAAATGATAACGACTGCCATTCGTAGATAGAAGCTTAGGGAAGGCTTTATACACCTTATCGAATTTGATCCTCACGACATCCCAGAGGAAGGGAGAGGCGAGTAAGGGGTGCAATTACCATTCCCATTTTACACAGGATAAAAGTGAGGGTCGGAAAAGGGGCGGTGACTTGCCCAAGGACATACATACTGTCCCACAGCACATCGTGATTCGAACCTCGGTGTGCCTAATCCCTGCGGGTCCACTGCGCGTGGGCGTGGGGGTACAGGGAGTAGAGGTGTGGGGGTGCAATCTGGGACAGAGCTCCCCCGCAAACCCGGGCTCTCCGGTCTGCGGCCCCGCCCCGATCCGCCCTTGACCTTGGGCGCTGAGTTATAGTTACCTTCCCGGAGAGAAGACAGGACGAGGCGGCGGCGGCGCGGGCTCCCGAGGGCTCCTCCGGGCTCCCCCGGTCCGGACCCGCGGAGGCTGCAGCGCCGGAGCCGGTGCCTCGCTGCCCCGCTGCCCCGCCGCCGCCGCCGCTCACCTGGCAGCCACAGGCGGCTCCCGCCCCGGCCCAGGCTCAGGTTCGCACTCCAGCTCAGCGCAGCCTTCGGGCGGCGGCGGCTTCCGACGTTTGCCCGGGACTTTGCCGCCGCCTCCTCCTCCTCCTCCAGCCCGTCCCTAGCCGGCGCCCCCGCCCCCGCTGTCTCCTCCGCGGCCCTCGGAGCTTCCGGGTGCCCCGCCCCCTGACGTCGGGAATCCCCCCCTTCCCCGCCTGGCGGAAGCCCACGTGCGAGGCTTCCCCAGACCCCGACCCGAGCAGGCTGCAGACCCCTCCCCGTCCAGCGGATGCCTGAGGGGCTTTCCAGCCGTCGAGCCTCTGCTGGGAGGTCTAGGGAAGGGGTGGGGCGGGGAGGAAGACAGCAGATTGGGGTAGGGGAGGTAGGGGTCTGGGGCCGCGCAGCCAGGGGCACCCCCAGGCACAGGATTTTAGAAAGCGTGCAGGAGCCTTGAAGCTGTTCAAGGTGAAGGGAAGAACTGAACGCCAGCTTCCTCCGGCAAGAAGTGTTTCCGATTTTGTAGGAAAGGAAATCCCGTTAAACAGCTGGGCAGCCTTATGTCATAAACACGAACTTCCCTACCAGGTCAGGTCCGTGGGTCACAGATGATCAATGTCCCTGCCAGAGGCTCCTAGACGACAGGGACCGTCCTTTGCTTCTTTTTTTTTTTTTTTTGTATCCCCAGCTCTGGCACATAGTAGGCGCTTTAATAAATGTTTATTAATTGACCCTCGGGACTTGTAAGACCTAAGTGCGTACCTTTTCTGATTTCAATCACAGCGTGTTAAGAGATGTATTCCTCCCATTCTCTTAATAACCTATTAAGGGTTTGTCGTTCATCTAATTCCATAAGCCTACATAGTTTTTGAGTAGAGGACGAAAAAAAGAAAAGCTAAACCTTAATTTGCACACACGAATACACGCACACACGTAAGGAATCGTGTTCCAATTCACTCTCCCGGCGACATTCCCTAAATTTTCTGTAATGATTACTTCCCAGACCAGCCTACAAAAGCTTATTTAATGATTAATGTACCTAAAATGCTAGACTATACTAAAAAGCTGTGAACCCTCACCACTGTGTTTGTTTCTGTGTGAAAATGAGCTCGTGGTTATAATCAGAAACGCATCTTAGTATCATCAACAGGATACCTCCCCCCCCCCCCCCCGTCTTCCCCTTTTCTTGCCAGACAGGGGACCGGGGGCTCCCCAGGTCTAACCCACTGGTGCTATTTATCCTAGCCTGTGACAGTGCTGGTATTCCTGGTGGTTGGGGGTAACAGAGCACTTCTGGAAGTCCACAGACGAAAATTCGAGATTAGTGGGAAAACTCCGGGACATCTATTCAGGCTACAAGCGTCTGCCGCCTCACCACTGCACCTTTTACTTTCTTGGATCCCTCCACAACCTCACCTCCTTTCTCTTTTCACAGAGAAGGGTTGCTTCAACTTTCAGCTTTTCTACTTCCTTGGCCCACAGTAGTCTGACAGAAGCAAGCATCGTTAGTTATTTCTGAGAAGTTTTTATTATGAAAGGTTCATTTCTGTGCATCTCACCACCTTTCATTTTTCACTCAAACCCTATATTTAAACAAACAAAAGTGGACCAAAAAAGGTAATAATAATGCTTTTTGGCATATACATAGGACTAGAGTAAAAATTGTACACGTTTTCTCAACTGTAAAATAAAGAGCTTCCATCTCAGTTGCTATAATTCTAAATGCATTAGGAGAAATTTGATGAGGGAGACATAATCACTACAGTCTACAGAGCTTGAGAGCAGGTTTCCTGAGTTGGCACATTACAGCTGAGCCTCATATATAACTCATTCCCTTCTTCCTTCTTTATGTTAATAGGGCAGCATTGTCGAAGTCGCCCATGTTTGGAATTCCAGTCATCTTTGATGTTGACCCCCTAAAACACAATAGGTCTGACCCCCTCTTTCCATTAACCTACCACTCTAATTTAACCCTTTGGCCTTCATACCTAGATTCTTTCAGGAGCCTCCTAACAGGACTTTGAAAACTGGCTGTGGTGGGACAGAAGAGGATTGGAAGGATAAAGGGAGGTTAACCCATTTATTCTTTGCCTTCCCTTGTCATGCAGGCCTCTCCCGGTGCTAGATCAGAACTGAGAGTGGGGAATAGATCCCAGGTGGCAGGAGAGGATTGTGAACCCCACCTACACCCATTTGAATTGAATCTTTCCTGAAGGAGATGCTTTAAGTTTGGTTTAATTATGCAAAAAAATTTTCAAAAAAGAAAAAAAAGCAGCAGCCAAATTCAGTAAATGAAAAACAGATCACAGTCCTAAAGAACTGAGAATTTAAACAGGAAGAATTTTATAATCACTGCCAGATGTAGTGACTCTACTGGGTATTCTTGCTTCACTGGTTATCTTTGTTACATAGTAGGATTCAATTTGTGAGTTTTTTCCCCGAAGAAATGACTGTGATATACTAATGTGTGGGGTGTTTGTGACCCCCAAAATAATCAAATCAGAGACTTCTTAAGAAAGGCAAAAAGGAGTTTTATTGCTTTCTCATGAGAAAGGACACACCCAGCACTCGCTGAAGATGGCTCCAGCCAGGGTGTGTGTGGGAGTATAGCTCAAAGCCAGTTTATGTAGACCCTAAGGTGGAACCCCTACCCACCCACTAGCTCCTCTTTATTGGCTGGGCTTCAGAGCTCACAGTCTAAGCACGGAAACTTTCCCTCAGCAACAAGGTTTGCAAAAAGGCGGGAAACAAGGAACTGTTGGTTCAGCAGGAAAGTAAGAAAAAAGGAGGGGAGAGCTATCAATTCTGTGGTAACCAAACTGTTAGCATTCCTCACACTAACAAAATATCTTTTAAAAACTTCCATGTGATATTGAGTGAATATTGATGAATAAGAACTTCAAAAATTGACCATTAGTATCACCCAGATGTATGTTTTGGGGTTTTTTGGCAGTTTTTATGGATTTTTTTTCCTGTTAAACAGAAGGCAAAAAAATAAGACGAGAGATAAAATTCGAGAATTTTAAGTCTTTTATTGATACTTAATTTACATGACAAGTTCAAATTTTCTTAGAAATTTCATAACTTGTGCTAAACATTTAGTCTGAATTTCCAAAGGAGCTTAGTTGGATTATTTGGTTTGAGGTATATTGTAAGGACAATCTCTATGGTTTAGGAATCACCACAGAAAGTGTTTAGTTTGTTATTTACCCTTCTTGTGCCCATAACAAACATCACTGAACATTGAGTTCTCATTTTAAAATTCTGTAATTGCTGTTTATAACCTCACCCCCAACCCCTCAGGGAACTCCTCACTACAGGTATTCAGACACTACTTGTAGAGATGGAAGTCAGAATCAACATACTACAACCACAATTCTCCCTACAATCAGTATTTCTATACTTTACTGACCTCTTAAGGAAAGGCTATAATAATCCCATGGGGTTTCTATGACTGGAAAAATCAGGAAAGGTTTAACTCAAACCTACAGCTAATCAACTGGAATAAGAATTTATGAAAAAAAATTCTCATCCAATACTTTTCTAGCATTCTGGGGTAAAAACACAGAGCTCCTCTCCCTCCAGAGCTTTCTATGTCAATATAGTAACTCCTGAAGAAACTTTGGGGTTTTTTTTTTTTTTGTTCACAAGGACAGCACACTTGTATAAGAATGCCTACATACATTGAGAAAGAAGGTCTAAATGAAGGAGCCAAGACTTGCCTAGCTTGTATCTTATCTGCTAAAACAAAACACCTATGTACATAAAAAGAATGATGACCTATATGGTCACTGAAAAGTAATGCCTGAAAATTACTAACAATCAGTTGGTTCACTTCCATCAGTTGGGGAGAGCTACTAAAATAAAGCTAAGCTCTC